GGTCTTTACCGCTAAAGGCGCTTCTTTCTCGTCATGATTAATTCTTAAACTGCACAGAGTAGTCTCCATCATTTTACATAGTGTTTTCTGGCGATTTTTTTTCATTTATCCTTGTTAAAGATCTGTCATTTACTGTCTTCAGTACTTTCGTCATCTGTTGTCATAATTATTCTTTTTATCTGATGTCCTCAGTACTGCCTTCTTCTGTTGTCTGCAATACGGTCTTCATCTCCTGTCCTCAGTACTTTTTTTAAAATCTACTATCTTTAATACTGTAACCATCTGCTGTCTTCTTAATCTTTACTACACAGTTTCCCCAAAGGATGTGTAACTGGCAGACACGCAACAACACAAATAAATATATACATATATATTATAGACATCAAACAACATCTATCACGCATTGCATTTATAAATAATGGGTACAATATATAGGCATACTTTTGTTGGAAGAATTATTTTAACTCTGTTTTAAACATTTCAGTTGATTCGCTTCAAACCCACGCCACAACGAACACCCCGATGTTTGTGCGCGACAGAAATCACTCCACGTGTAATCCAGACCCCACAGCCAGGTCCCTTCAGGTGTCGTTAGTCAAGCCACAGTCTAATCTTTGGTTCACCATACATGCCAGCAATAATAGTAAGATTATTATTATTAATACACAAATGTAGCTGCCTACAATTCAGTTTTGCAATATTACTTACATCCGCATTTTAGCTTTTGTTTGCAATGACAAAATACTAAAAGTAAAATGTGTCTAAAAATACCACAACCGTTAAATGATGCTAGATTTGGTTCTGCAACGTCCAATAAAGGATACGAAACTAATGTGTATCTTTTTTCTTGTTTTTTTTTTCTTCATCTGAGCCAGTGAGGTTTATTGCAGCAGATATCTCCCGCCTCCATTCATGTCTCTGATGGGTCTTCTCTTTCCAGTTGGTGATAACAAGTGATTGTCTGTCTGGACTTTATCTCTCTAGCGTCTTCTCGATCTGCCTCGTAGTCTACTACCATTTCTCTAACTTGTGTTTACAGTTTTTACCTCTCTGTCATCTAACATTCTTTCAATATGTCCCAACCAGTTCAGTCTATTAGCTCTCACGATGCCAATGATCAATGGTGATTTAAACAGATTCTGAATTGCGTCGTTACTTCTCACTCTCCAGTCACCCTCTGCATGTCGATGGGTCCAAAGATTCGCCGTAAGACTATATTTTCGAAAACCTTTAACAATTCTTCATCTCTTTTAGTTGTGCTCCAGGTTTGAGAGCCATTAAAAAAAAAAAAAAAAAGACCTGTCTTATCAACGTTTGAAATATGTTGATCTCAGTGTTGCGAGACAGTCACTTTGACTTTAGCAGATGTTGAAGGGAATCGTGTACTTTATTTCCAGATTGTATATAATAGGTTGTATTTCTTTTCTCAGCATGTTGGAGCAGTTAAAAATATCACTTAAGTACTTTTATGTTTACATGCCCTTGATTTTCATATTATCGACTTGTATGTGACCGGGGTTTATATCCTTTCTCTGTCTAGTTATTATCACGTATTCTGTCTTTTCTTGATTGATAACTAGTTCCATTTTCTGAGCAGATTTTTTAACGGTCTCTAGTTCATTTCCTTCAATGTCATCAGCATATCTAAGTATTCTTGTAGTTTCTTGTACAGTACACTCTTGTTTCAATTTCCTTATAATTTTCCCCAGTGCCAAGTTGAAATGAAGTGGGGACAGAGCATCACCTTTCTTTAAGCCGGATGTTATTTACAAAGGGTCTGCATTTCTGCATTTATATAATATTTACTATACTACAAATGTCTTCTATACATAGTTTGGTCATGGTAATTACATTCTTTGGTATTCCAAAGTTCTTCATAGAATTCCATAAACTGTTTCTATGTTTCTATCATACGCTTTTAAAAATCCACAAAACATTATGTACATCACCTCTATATCCCCGGTTAGGCCGTAAAATGAATATCTGGTCTGTTGTTGATCTGTTCAGTCGGAAACCCGCTTGGTAATCATCTCCCAATATGTCTTCGACGTATGGTTTTAGCCGGTTTAGCAGTTCCACCGATAGTATCTTGTAGCTTGTAGATAACAGTGATGTTCCTCTATAATTGACACACTTATACTGTTTCCTTTCTCAAGAGTGGGTCTTAATAAAGACATGTTCCATTCTTGGGGTAATTTCTCAGTCTTCCAAACTAGTATTAATTTTTTTATATCATAACATGCAATGCATGACCACTTTGTTTTAAAAGTACAGCTGCAATTCCATCAGCACCAGTTGCTTTATGGTTTTTAAGCCATGTTATGACATACATAATTTCTTCAAAATCGGGATCCTCAGTATTAGGTTCACATGTTATTATCTCTTCCTGTTAATATGTATTAAGTGGGGTTTCTCAGTTTAACAATCCAGCAAAGTATTTCTCCCATCTGTTATATATTTCCTCATTATTATTTATCTTGTTCCCATTGTGATCTTTTAAGCTATGTATACTTTGTTGATGTCCTCGTTTTACAGCTTTCATTTCTTTAAAAAAAAAAAAAAAACTTTATGGATTTGTTGTTCTGATGGTTAGCTTCCGTATCCATGACAATGTTGTTCATGTATTCTCGCTTTTGGTGCCTAGCTACTTTTGTAGTTCGTTGCATTTTGTTCTATACTTGTCTTATTTCGTATGTTACTAGTATCATTTAGCCAATTCTACATGGTATGTTTTTTCTGACTGCTTTTTCACATTTTATATCGAACTATTTATTGTTCAAAGAAAATGTGCATAGTTATTTTGATTCTTTTTCGATGGTATCAGGAATGTACTTGAGATACACATCTCACTTACTTTATTTGTCGATACTTGACTTTGAGGTGTAGAGTTTTGCCGGAGAGAACGCCAGGCTTCTCTATCTGCATTTTTTCTTCTAGCTTTGTTCTATTCTAGTCCAAATAGGATTTCCTCAACCCTGAGAAGTTGTGAGTATTTCTCCATCTGTGCATAATTTTATTTGGAATAGCAACCAGAGCGCCTACCATGTCTTGAATCAATTTAAGTGCGAACTACCCCCTCCACACCCCCCCCCCCCCTCTCCACACCCCCTTTGCAAACGTTTCCTACCAGCGTTGTTCAACGGTGGAAGTTAGAATTAGTGATGATAATGAATCTGTTATGATAGGAAGTAAGGTATCAGTATATTTATGTTCCAGATAGTTTAATAGTCACCTGCATGTTTAGAGGTTTCATTTGAAACATTACATGGCTCAGAATGATGTCTGCGCGATTTGTCAGAGGCCCTCGTTGCATGGGCGGCATCGCTCTTGAGCAACGCCATCTTATAATCTCCAGGCGGGTTTTGTCGACTGTGTTGAAGTAGCCGTAGATAGAACGGGTTTTGTGAGGATGGCGGAGTCCAGGATGCATGTTGTGACCGTTGATCCCCGGGAAAAGATCAACGATTGTAAAGCGACCTTGCAGGTTGTCGGGCTGACGTCGATAACCCGGATCAGTCCAATTATTAATTGTTAAACTGACTGCCTAATGAACATTGGATCAGAGCTCAGCCAGTTGTGGGTGTGTTGTGTGTGTGTGTGTGTGTGTGTGTGTGTGTGTGTGTGTGTGTGTGCTCTGTCAGAGTGGTACTTACTAAAAAAGACTGCTTAGGTTAGAATAAGTGACACAGCTCATAAAATCATAAAAACCTCATTCTGCTACTTTCAACAGTCACGCTGTTTCACCGGAACTTCACGGTAAAAGTCGACCACGAGACAGAAACTAAAGTAAAATTGTTCATCATAATAGACACGAATGCCTTAGAAGTGCGGACTGAGTATTACAGTACTACTTTGAGAAACATCACAATTGAAGGGCCTGTTGTCCGGTACATCTGCACTATCAACGTCAGCAAAGGTTAGTGCGATTAGCTCTAACGACACAACAATTCTAAAAACATACCGTAGATATGGCTGACCAGTCTGAGGTTGACGGTTTGAACCGTGTGAGTTTTCTATAGAATAGACCCAGTGCCTACCAAGAAGTATGTTGTAAGAGTCGACCAATTAGGAGCTTCCTTTGTAGTCGGATTGCATCTGCCGGAGAGGCAAGGAACCAGCAGTCTGCATAAAAGGAGTAAGATCTGTAAAACGAATGCACATGCAACACTCAAGTTCCAGATCACGACCTCAGTCCAAAAGTGGATAAACTACCAGAATTTTCCGCCAGAGTTTACAACTGGTGAACGCAAAGAAGAAACAGAAGAAGAACAACAACAAAAACAGCAACAGACCAAAATCAGGTCACACAGATAGTAATTCATAAGTGCTCCCTTTTTCTTCTAACTCATATATGTGTCTGTAGAGGCTCGGCACAGTGCACATGATCCGTAGCATCATCGAGGGTCCTGAAATACTTTAGGTAGATTTTTAACTATTAATTTTGCCCGACAGCGCTGTTAATGTACCCTTTTCGATTTCCAGCTGCTAGATGATTTTTACGTGCGCAACAAGGCACACGGGTGTCCGATCTCATTACCCAGAGACCAGAGGGAATTATTAGAAGTCAAATCCACGTAAAAAAAATCCGAGCCTTACTAGGGATTAAATCCAGAACCTCACGCACTTGAGGTGAACACCATTGCTCAGGATCCCCTATAAAGCTGACTGTTGAAGAATGATATTCTCTTCTTCATCTATCTACATTTCCCCCTTCCTCTTTATGATGTTGTTGTTGCTCCTGCTGTTGTGTTGCTGCAGTTGTTCTTCCTTCCTTCTTTTCTTTCTTTCTTCTTCGTCTTCTTCTTCTTTCTCTTTTTCTTCTACTTTGTCTTCTTCTTCTACATTCCCTTTTCACCCCTCATTATCTCTTATTCCTCTTTCTTGTCTTTTATTAGAAATATATCAGTGACTATCATAATGTCAATGAAATTATCTGCTGTTGTTTTGACTTATGGTGCCTTACACATGTGCAATATCACAGGCCGAAATATAGCTTTGAGACAGAACGTAAGCCAGTCATCGAACTACTTGAACCAACAGCAGGGAGTTGGAGCAGAGAATGCTGTAGATGGTAACACCAATCAATACTTTTCTAGCCGCTCATGTTCACATACAGATGTTGAGACGGAAACGTATCCATCCTGGAATATCACATTTGATCGACCATACTGGTTTCATTTGATCTACATCTACAACAGAAATGGTAATAATATTTTCAATCATTTCAGGCATTCTTTAATTTGTATTAAAATTCTTCTTCTTCCTCCTCCTTTTCTTCTTCTTCTTCTTCTTCTTCTTCTTCTTCTTCTTCTTCTTCTTCTTCTTCTTTTTCTTCTTCTTCTTCTTTTTCTTCTTCTTCTTCTTCTTCTTCTTCTTCTTCTTCTTCTTCTTCTTCTTCTTCTTCTTCTTCTTCTTCTTCTTCTTCTTCTTCTTCTTCTTCTTCTTCTTCTTCTTCTTCTACTACTACTACTACTACTACTACTACTACTACTACTACTACTACTACTACTACTACTACTACTACTACTACTACTACTACATTTTCTTCTTCTTCTTCTTCTTGGTCTTCTTTTCTTCCTTTTCCTCCTCCTCCCAACTAGTTTCCTATATCTTCTGGTTATGTTCAAACGACATGTCGTAGCAGCTCTGCTAATATTTACTTCTCAAGACCAACCCCAGTATATTGTGTCTGATGTGGTTGTCTAGGTAGATTTTACACTTAGTAGTTTGCCATTGCCCCCTAAACGATCAGCGCTTGGTTTTACTTTTGAAACCATCGCATGACAAACCGTCAGAGCTAAGATCGAACTCGGCACCTCGGCGTTACGAAGCTCGTTTGCAACGCTTAAGCCACAGACGCCGACTAATAGACATTGGGATTATTGATATTTAACCTTTTTGCCTGAACTGTGGTTTCACTGTTCAATTTCTCGGTAAGAAAATATAGTTTACTAAATATCGATAGTCGAAAATCCAACCATGTCTGTAACAATATACTAAACAAAGTTCTGCTCGAACATTGTTCCCTAGCCTTCGAAGAACATCATTACTGTGTTTATTTCAAACGATGGCTTCCAGCCTCCCCCAACTAGAGTGGCCATACACAGTCAAGCAAAAAAAAAAAAAAAAACCAGCAAAAAAATATTAAAAGCCTTGCTCAGAGTCTAGGCCATCTTCAACTGCCATGCGGCATAACAAGCATAGCAAAGTTGGAAGAGATGGACACATCTCATGCTTCAATAGATAATATTTTACAATCTAGCCATTGCAAGCCAAACATATCTTCACCAAGTCATAGAGACACTGCCAAAAACACCAGACGGGATCATTCACCATCACACTCAGGTGACAAGAGTGCAGCGTTTATCTACATAAATAACAATATTGTATGTTCCTTGCTCTAAAGGTATCAAAGCATCAGAGGGCAGACTAACATACCGTATCGTTACTACGTGCTCTGATACTGTTTCCAAATTCCCAGAAGATAACATGTTACAGAAACATGAAATCAGCTTCTCGTCATTTCAATCAGGAGCCCAGTCACCGAATAACCACCTTATTCTCAATCCCCCAGATCTCGCATTGACACGTGACTCACTCAATTCTGCCTTATCGCCATCTTCCGGTTAAAACCTATGCTATCAAGTGCTGCCTAATTCTGTTATGTATATTTATAGCGTCATTACAATTTTATTGTCGTCTTTTTTTTAGAAGTGCCGACTTTTGAAAAGACACTTTTCAGGACATCGATGTTTGTTTTCTGACCATTTTTTTCTTCTCTGAGTGATATATTTCGTGTTTCAGTAACATCTTATCTTGTGTCAGTTTTTAAAAAAAAAGTATCATAGAACTTTGTACTATTAAGAGATTAAGTCTGTCTTCTAACGCTTGGATATGTTCAGTACATTGATTGTTGTTTATGTTGAAACACGCTTCTCTGTTATCGCCCGAGCGTGATGGCGAGTGACCACGACTGGTGTGTTCGACATTGTCACCATGTTTTGGTGAAGATATTTTTGTGCTGCCATGGATGGAAAATAAAAATATTGTCTAGTGAAGCATGAGATGTGTTCATCTCTTTTCCATCCATCACCTACTTGTTATCCCGCAGATGGGGTGGTCCCTGGGCGAGGTGGTGTGTTCCTTATCTTTCAGTTTCATTGCATTTGACCAGTCCAGTCGGGCGTAAGCTTGAGGCCAGTGTCTGAAATGCACACACTAATGATGTGTTTCACTGGCTATGTGAACAATGCATTGGCAGACCTCGCTTGTCTTTGTGTAGTTCCCATGGCTGGCTCTCCTACGGACAATATTTGCTAAATTAATGTTTTTACTGTGAAGCTGAATAGTAAAATCAAAAGTAAAAGTTGAGTCAAACTGATTAATGAATATTTTCTCGAAAAGCAAGAATTTCTATGTACTTGTCATGTTAATTTTTCGAAAATAGGAACAGAAAGGAAAAGAGTTTAAAACAATGAATACACTTGCTACAAGATGAACGTTTGCTTCTTCCTGCTGCCGACTGAAGACTTGATACCCTGAGATTAAAGAAGCTCCGTCTGGATGGCAGACTAACATGATAGATCCCATATGCATCGTTCAACGTCAATAAGGTTCTAACTGCAGCACCCATAAGGACCTGACTGGTTCTGGGTAATAAACTATTCTCATCGAAAAAGTGCAGTAACAATGATCGAACCGCTTTCTTATCAATAACATTTTTTTTAAATGTTAAAAAAAATATATTGGGCAAGGTACGTTGACTGTCAGAGGATTGTGTATGTTAACTTAAAATATCTCTTTTTTTTTTTTTTTTTTTTTGCTTTAGCCGTTATGAAACGGCTGTCCGGATTCAGTCTTTCAATGTACAACGGGAAAGGGGATCTTATTTACCAATACACAGACAATGAAAACACCCCTTTACTAGTGTACGAAGTTTCACTAGTGCGGGACAATTCAGTCAGATTAATCAGTATTGAAGCAGATCATGGTCCTACTTCAAGTCGTGTTTTAACCCTGTGTGAAGTTGAAGTTTACGCAGGTGAGTGGTCTTTGTCAAAATTGTTACGTGTTTTGTAGATGATGTAAAATATATGTTGCCATAAAAAATATATGTTGGCCACTTCCAATCTTTCAAGACTTTATCGTTATATCGTACAACTGGGAGGCCTGCGAGATATGACGATGGCAAAGGTGACTAGCAAACCCAGCTCAGATAAAGTAATGCCATAGATTTAATTTAAAAAAAAAAAAAAAAAAAGAGCAAGGGATATCAACAAAACTGTTGTAATGAATTTAGATTTTCACCAACGAACATGCACTATACGTAAAAAGATAAGTTGCCATGCCATCAAGGATTTAATTAGGAATAATTTTCCACTGTGCACTGCAGCTGCAAGAATATCGAGTGGCATGTTGCCATAGGGTTATCATTGTAAATAATAAAGTCGGCAGATGTGAACCAGCGTCATTGCACACGGTTATAAACCATAAGTGCTCTGCCACCAGTACAGACAGCTGATAAGAAACTGTCCGCCTGTGTCGCCCGCCGCACGTAACTCCGTAGCTACATCGACGCTCCTCCATTCACCCAGAGTGTCAACTCTAGTACCCATTTCCTAGAGGCTGGTTGAACGCCGGCAGCCGCCCTATGCAACACTATATGTGCAACAGAAGATCTGATGTAACTACTTTTATTCATCAACGATAAACTTCAGTGTTCTACAAAGCTGTGCTGAGCCAGCCAATCTGTCCACCTGTTCATATCTCAACACACCGGCATGGCCCGCAGGAAACATCCAGAGAGTGCTCTTCATCTCTGACCTGTGAATCGGAGGCCACTTTTCATGAAGCATGTCCTCACCAAACTCAGCGAGCTTTCTTAGTCACTACAATCAAGTTTTCAGTATGTGTGTCTGTGTATGCTCGCCATCGCGTGTGTGTGTGTGTGTGTGTGTGTGTATTGTGTACTGTAGCCAGCGGAAAGCTGAACTCACGGCCTCCACCTCCATTCTCAAGCTTATTATTTTGGCATCACATGATGAGTTTTCCATTAGCTTCTGCCAGGAACCTCTGAGCCCTTCTTTTGCCTCTTGGTCCTAAACCATCTGAATAAATTATCACATCATGTTTTATTCCAAACAATAATTTTCTCATTGTAACTGTTAATTAATTTTAGAGGTTTGCCTTCGCGACAGACGATCCTGAATCCTGTTAAATTGTTGGGTTTTTTCGCGTCGTATTTTTTTCGGGAGGGATTTCGTTTTTTTTTTTTTTTTAAAGTAAGAGCCTAACTCCTCCTGCCCCATCCCCTCTCCCCTCCCCTCTCCCCTCCCCTCCATACCTTAACTTGCAACAGTCATTAGTCAGTCGTTTGATTCCAGTAGAATATCGGGGACAATGGAGCAGCAAGTGTGATCTTTAGGAAAATGACACCGTTTGGAGGAGACAATATGGGATGTTTACACACCATGAATATGTATGAATGTAAAACGCCTTGAGTAGATAAGACCCCAATTGAAACATCAAAGATAGATGGTAGTTTATTAATTATATCTAAGTGGCATACATGTGCAAACAGAAACGATAACACTTGTGTTGGTCTCACGTGCATCTAGTACGCCTGTCTCCAGTTCTCAACAACGTATGAACATGTTCACAAGTCTATCACTTTCTGTATGAATGAATGAATAAATTATTGAATGAATCAAGAGCTGACATCACTGCACTCTGGCCATTCCCATACCTGCTCTGTTCCCTTCTTCAGTAGCCAACGAAGAGTTGACATGCTAACAAGACCAGTTGATTACCTGATTAAACGCTCCCTCTGTTTCCCCTTGGATGTTGACTATCTCTCAGAAACGCTGCACACCCGCCATTGAATTAGTCTTTCAGTGTAAGGATTCACTATCTGTTATAATGCCCTGTCCATTGTGATCATTAGAGCCTTCATCACATCGCTTTATCATAAAGTAGCTCATCGCCTAGAGGAGCGACAGCAGCTAATCTATCATACTGTTTGTAACCTCGCACACATGAATATTACGGACAGAAAATCAAATTATGTAACAAAACACTAGTTCTCATTTACTAATTTTGACAGACAGAACTAGGAGTAACTTTCTAGTTCAGAGCACAAGTCGCATGTCTATTACTCTTTCAGACATCATCAGCACACATCTCTAATGCCGCACACAGAAACCGCTGTCGGTGGGGGGGGGGGGGGGGGGGGGGGGGGGGGGGTCTCTTTATAATACATTAATAGGTGAAGTAAATTTATGTGTTGTTTTTTTTATGTTCAGCTGAGCTGAGTCAAGAAGGACATCTCGGTACTCAGGGCATTGCCGTATACACTCCATCACCATCTTCAGCGGCCAGCGCAGAGTTTCAATACTAATGGTTCCAGCAGCAGTCTGATTATGTGTCCATCTTGCCTTTTCTCTGAGTGTCGTGTGTCGGCCAGGTTTTCTACTCACATCCAGGTGTATCATTCTCTAGAGGGGATGATAATCTATTTTCTCTCCTACTTGTTTCCAAAGGGCCCAGACCACGTCCGCCTTGTCATGTATCAACTCACCACCTAGTGATGCAGATCCCTCCAATCTTTCTGCCGTAAACATGTCCCCAATATGCAACAGTTAGTATTCAACTTCAGTCACCATTAGACCCCAAGATGTTTCTTAACAACACAGAAAATTGTTTTATTGTTGGCACATTTGGATATGGAGATGTATTTGTTGCAACTGTAGATGTACCAAACGGGTTGATGATATTCAATCGAAAAAAAATCATGAAAAAAAAAAAATGGTTTTAATCATTCCGATTCTGATGAACCCAAAAGTTTGATAATTGGTACTGGCTGTTTAAACTATAATCTATCTCTGTGCCAGTACTCATCTTTCTCTTGGTTCACATGTTTAATACACTTTTTCCAGAAATTATTGTCTGCTTTTGAGAATGATAATTGATACTGGCTGAGCAAACTAAAATCTATCTCTGTGCCAGTACTTATCTTTCTCTTGGTTCACATGTTCAACACACTTTTTTCCAGAAATTATTGTGTGCTTTTGAGACTAAATCACGTGTCAGAACTTTTCCCACATTTCAAATGTTCTGTTCTTTTAAGCAACATGCCTTTTGACTATACCCCAGACAAGCTTTATCAGGTTGAAGTGTGAATGATATGCAGGCAGTCACGGAGAACTGTGGCCGTTCATTATTGATTTTATCAATGTCTTACAACTTTGTCTTATTTGTTTTCTGCACTAGCTGCAACAAATCAGCATTTAAATATGTGTCGTCAAAGTTGACTTTTTCTTTAGCAAGCCCTGTCCTCTTTGATCTTTCGTATTTGATGTCGTTGATTCTTTGTCTTCCTCTGATACGGCATAAAGATAGGTGGCATTGTCCTTTACTAGGAAAATGGTCTGTCCAGAATTGGAAGATGATCATTATCCATCCAGTGCCTGGAAATGTGTCCATTCATTTCAGTGTGATCGTCCCTACAATGCGTACTTTGTAGATTGAAAATAAGTCTTCACTGCTTCTTGCATAAGTGAGTATAATGAGCTGGCTTTTGCTGCGTTGAATGTTCCTTTACTGTTCACCGTTTACTGATTGTCATTCTTTAGCATAGGTATGGCGGGCATTAACCCAGGATGCATCAAAATATACAATATCATAGCCTTGCAGCCGTCGCTCACGGATCTGCCTTGTGTAATTGCTTCGATTACCATTCAAATATGGCTTTTCCTTCTACCTACAGTTTTCATTAATGTGAACCCCGGTGGCTCTTATAATTTTCCGCACACTCCTATTTGAGATGTCAATACTGCATTGTGATTTCAGTGTTAATTTCAGTCTTCGGAAAGTAACAAGTCGGTTTGTCTCTAACATTTTAAAGATATGACGTCTAATGGCATCTACATTAAAGTCGTCAACTTTCTCCTTCCTTGCTTGACATAAATCTACTCTGTATCTTGTCTAATCCAACGATTTAATGATGCTCTATCCAGACCAAGAGCTAATCGTGTTTGTTTCTCTGGGTCGTGAATATCACAACATGAGCTACTCATCTTAGATTCCACGAGGAAGTGCTGGGACAGTTAAACGGTGATCTTCTGCATAGTTATAAATGTGCATCTCACATTTATTCTATAATCTTTGTTTATTTCAGCTTTTATATTAGCTAGCTGTGTGACACAATAACTCAACATTAACGTGAGGATGCTCCTTCGACGAAACAACCTTGACCGACATCTTATTTTGGTGTCAGGTCACTAAGAGAAAATCATGAAATTACGTAGGAGTTTCTTTGACCCACTGTCAAACTAGCCATAGTGTGTATTAATTCCTGAAACAAATGAAATGAAACCATATATATATATATATATATATATATATATATATATACACACACACACATTTTCTTAGCACATACACACGCACATTCACACTCAAACATACGCCCACACGGGGGCTGTGAAGGTTTTAAATATTCACACACACCTTTTTCCCGTTTGTTGCCCTTTTTCCGTGAGATTTTTATTGGAAACTTTAAACATCGACGATAAAGATTTGAGTTTCACAATTGTTAGAAAAAAATCCACATTGGCGCAACCTAGGTTTGGAATACATAGTTAATATCTTCTTCGTTAAGTCCATACCGTGTGGCCTTGGTAGGCATGTTTCTTAATAACCATCTGTCTTGTGTACGAGTTTTCAGTAAACTCTGACACAGATGATCCGCCATGCATGATGTCAGACTGTCAAACATCTTTTTTTTTTCCAGTCTCCCCCTGCCTCTCCTCTCCTACTGTCGCGATGTACTCTAGTTTTCTCATTCTAAAAACATGACCAAAGAATATATATTGTCTCCTGATGGGGGCAATCAGTTTTCTTCGTGAGTCAGTTTCTTTCAAGTAATCCTATTTACTTTTTTTATCTGTCCAATGTATTCTCCTCATCCATCTATAAAACCTCATCACCTTAATATTTGTCCACTAGTCTACCAACTGTCCATGATTCACTTCCGTATATCAAGTTGGGATTTATATAATTTTTGAGAATTCTCTTTCTCACTTGACAAATAAAGATTGCAGAAAATATTCTGGATTTGGTAAAATGCTGCCGCTGCTTGATCTGCTCTACATGTGATTTCTGTAATATCACTTACTTCTGATGCTACAGGCGTGTCTCATTTCCTTTGATGCTGCATTACGAAAGGTCTTTGTCACTACCAATAATTCTCTGTTTCTGCTGTTCAAACAGAGAGCCTTGCAGTGAATTTCTGCTACTGTAATGTCCATCATTTCTTGCAGCTGTGTTCCATTTTCAGCAAACACAACTATGTATCTTCACCATATCACAGGTTGTTGACAGCATGCATAACAACAGAAATTCTGTGCATACCATTATAAATCTATTTCCTCACTGTTCAGATTGAATAAATCAGGTTATAGTACACATCACTATCTAACGCCTTGCCTAATGTTTTGAAAAATTCCAACTTGCTTGTCAGTTCTTGCTGACAGTGTATCTTCTTCAGCCTTCCCAGTCTGTGGGGTTCTTTGCTACATATTTCACTCGCCTCCATTAATTTTTCTCTTTTTGGCCTTTTCTTTCCATTTGGTGACACCAAATGTTTTCAGGTCCAGACATTAACTCTTCATCGCTTTCTGGTTCTGCCTCGTGGTCTACGACCATTAAACTCACTTGTTTCTACAATTGTGTCTTCTCTGTCATTTGTAATTTTCTCAGTATGCTCGAGCCATTTCAGTCTATTAGCTTTAATGACGCCAGTGATCAGTGGTGATTTGAACAGATTATGCATTTCTTTGTTGCTTCTCATCTCCGTTCTCCGCTGTTTGCACCTCTGACGGGTCCAAAGATTCATCAAAAGACTCAGTATAAGAAAATTTGTAAGGATGGTTAATCTAATTAACAGGGATGATGCATTTCGAATTATTTACAATTCGGCCAACCGTAGATTACTCAGATACGCGGAAGCTTCCGCGATCAACCGGTTAAAACAGGATCTCTGTAGGCAGAAAGAAATGGTAGTTTCCTTAAAGTTACCTTGGTGAAACAGACAGTGTGGAATGTACTCGAATTTGTGTTTCAGTTTCTAGGATTCAGCTATTTGCTTCATTTATTCACTTGTTACTGTAGTATGCACCTGACGAGATACAGCGAAAAATGCCAGGCAATAAATTGTGCAGTCTATTGTTTGTGTCTTCTTTGTTCATAATCTAATTTTGTTGGGCTTCAGCTTTCAGAGCCACATAACGCAACCGGACTTATCAATATGTTATATTTTTTGATCTTGGTGTTGCGAGACTGAGACTTTGACTTTAGCAGGCTTAGTATATTTTATTTTCAGACTATATTCTAGATTGTATTTCCACTCTCATCATGTTGGAGCAGGTGAATGCTTGCACCCAAGAACTTGTTGTCTCCGTTCTATAGTTTCAATTATAATTGTATGTAGCTGGTGTTTACATCCTTTCAATGTTTTGTTGCTATCATGTAGTCTGTCTTACCCTAACTGAAAACTAGTTCCATTTTGTAAGCTGCTTATTTTAAGAGAGTCAGTGTTTTTATTGTCTCTAGTTAATTTTCACCAGCAATATAATTGGCATCCGCAGAACCAAACATTCTTGTAGTTTCTCCTATAGTACACTCTTCTTTCAATTTTCTTTGCTAAACCGGCAGTTTTTTTTAAAAGGTCTGAGTTTCAGCCTTTATATGCTTTTCTTGTATGAGTTTGGGTAGCGGGAAAGGTCAAACCCTACCAACAGAAGATGTAAGGGGCCTACTTGTCTCTGCTAGCTTGCGAGATAACTCACGGGCAAGGGTAGAGTACCCTCTTAGGGTTTGGTGAAGTCATGCCAGGTAGGTGATGGCTAAATGTGGTGAGCAGGTGTAGCTTTCAATACCGGTCGTCACTTCAGCCATGTTAGGCAGATGATGTCTCTATGGGCACAATGGCTATGACAACCCCCCTCCCCCCCCCCCGCCCGCCAACCCCCAGTATGGACACTGTCACAGGGGAAATTGCAACCTACTGTGAGCATTTTGCAAAAGAAAAGTCATGTCTGTACAACAATCGATAAAGGTAAACAACATTAAGGGTAGTTCCAGAACTGCCTCGTCCGGTAGAGGCCTGCTACAGGTGCAGCCAGACTGTCACCAGGTTACTGTAAGCAAGCCAAAGAATGAGACACTTGCTAATCGTCGGAACATGGAATGTGAGAACACTCCTGCAAGCAGGGAGACTGGAAAACGTCAATGGTGAAATGAGCGAAATGAGAGGAGTCAGATAATTCTTAAAACCCACATAAATCATAATCTGATATATTGAATAAAATCATGCTGAATTAAAATATACGAAACAGAAGGCTGTGGATTAACATGACTACAAACGCCACATAGACTTTAAGAAGTTGGGCATCTACAACGTGCTGTTTAATGTATGACACATTTAAAAGAATGATTCACATGTTGCATTTGCTAGGCAATAATACAGATAACAAAACATTATCTTCTGTGTCTCCTAGAAACGTCATGTCCATGGTCTGTATATGGATTTGACTGCAAACATCAGTGTAATTGCGACAACAGTGTACCGTGCAGTGTTTCAGCTGGAACTTGCCAATACTTTCCAAATTATTACTGTCCTCCGGGTACACATGGAGAAGTCTGCGAGTTTTCTTGCTCTGAACAATGTCTACATAGTCTCTGTGATGCACGATCTGGGGCCTGTTCTCAGTGCGTCACTGGCTACCAAGGAGATTTTTGCAACGAAGGTAAGTGATATATCTATAAAGTTCAATGTGTAATTAGGAATGGACATCACGTCACTCAAGGCATTCCCATAACCTCCCTGTTCCATCTTCAGCAGCAAGTGCAGAGTTCCAATGCCGATAAAGAAAGGTACAGATAGTTCTCAATTTTATTGTAGACTTCATTCCATCAGGCAGTTAAACAATTAGGATACATTTCTTTCGGCTTTGGTCTTCCATTGACGGAATGGAACGTTTTTGTCAGGTGGATGAGAACCTTCAACAAATCACATGGTTGTTCTTGATATGTTTCTCTTGTAGCTGCCTCTTGGCGGACACCATCTGAAAGTTTTCACTTCTTTCCGGAATCTACACTGGCTTTCAGGTAGCAGGCTGCCATCATTGTGTATCGTAAGACGATTTGGGGGTATCCTTGCAAGTATTTTTATTGTGATGGATAGTAGGGAGATGCCCCGGTGACAGTCACAATAAGATTCTGTGTCAGAGTTAAGTTTTTTTTTTTTTTTTTTTTTAACCGGCCTTGTATAACGTCTGCAGGGATTGAATCAGAGCCGTGTGTTTTTCCGCTAGAAAGTTGGTGAACTGTCATCTTCTTTCCTTCAAGAGTAAAAGCTTCACCAGTGACAAGTTGGCAGTGGCTTGTAGGAGGCGGCTGATAGCGGTGTTGTTTACAGACGTGGACTGATTTAGAAACATTACTAACATGTTCAGCTCATCTCTGGAAAATGTGTTCTTTATCTATACCTAGTGTTTTCTTATCTGCTTTGAGGAGAGGAAGCGATCCTGATGACGCTGACGGACCATAGAATGACAGATTATACCCCGACATTGAATTTGATTTTTTTCTGCAGCAAACGATACATCCTTTAGGTACATACTAGTTAAAGATTGAAGGAACATTAATTTTGGGGGCTAAAATCAACATATTTTCACGGGTATTGATTGAAAATGTCATATTTTATGCCAAAAATAGCCAAATTTGTTCTCAACATTTACGAAGATATTTAAAACACTAACAAAGGTGGCTAAATGAAAATGTGCACATAAATTTAGCATTATATTTCAAATGTTACGAACTGAAGACAATTTCTTTAAAGCTATGGTTTAAAAGTTATGCTCACTTCAATTGTTAAATCATGTTTTGTTTTTCCACAAAAAAATAATAGGGGTAAGGGTTATCATAGATGCCAAAAACGCAAAATGTTTTCAAGCTGCGGTATTTATTATATTTCAGTCTGTTTCGGTGTTATTCTCCCATGTGTGCCAGGTTTGGAGACAAGTATGTTACCAACTTTTTGAGCTATCATTGCACAACACAGTACAAAATATCAAAAAACCTTCTTTTTTGAGAAAATCACGAAAAAGTAACTGGCCAAGCTGGTTTTCACAAAACTCGTGTACCTAATGAGTCCCTTTTGCTTATCAATCATCTTTATGGTATTTCTCAGCTGTCTGCGTACTTTACGTTGCTTTCTTTATATTCTTAACCATTTGTTTCTTTTTGGCAGCTTTTTCACGTACTTTATCAAATCTACGAAATGTAGAAACGTTGTGCCACTCATTAGCCCTGACTAGTTCCCCTTCATTTCATACAGTAACAGCACCACTCACAGCTATTTCTAGGCTGTATCTTCCAACATGGATTACAGGGATTAGACTATCCCAGTTATACAATTTCTAACAAAAGGGCGAAGTAAAAAATAGGATGATAAATAACTGAGTTATAACAGTCTGAATAGTTTGCCTTTATTATTAGGTCAATAAAGAAATTTCAGCTAGAATTTTATAACAAGATACAGATTATTGTATGCAGAAATGATTACACTTTCATGTAGTGTTAAAATTTAAAATTCCACTTGAAAAAAATTACTCAGTTTAGGGGGTTTAACCTGTCCTTAAGTGCGTGGTGAAACATTGTTTATCTCATACCTGTCGGCAAAATTTTGAATCTTATCTGCTTTTCTACGGAACCATGAGTCCCTCGAAGCATACACATCAGTCTTGAAATTATTTACAACAAATCACAGTTAGTTTATCCCCAGAGGTGGCTGGAAACCTACCCCAACCGGCTGTAAGGGCTTTAAAGTCACCACTCACACACGGGTTGTCTGGTCGTTCCAACGTGTTTGTATCGTATACTGAGACTGCAGTCCTACAGGCTAGTGTGAGTAAACAGGCCATGTCACTTCACCAGACAAATAAATACCTGCATAAATCCGCACAAGGACTAAAAACCGAATAACACTAAAATTATCATACCGTCCAACAAAACGGGTTATCACACAAATGGTTAGTTAGTTGCGTATCCTTTATAGGACGTTGCAGAACCAACCCCAACAACCCCTGGCTGTTGTGTGGTTTTTCTAGGCCAATTTACGTCCAGGATTTTACCATTGCTTTCTGGACAGTCAGCTTTCTTGATACCACTGTCAAAACCAACGCAACGCGCATGGATTGCAGTTGGGATCTACCCCGTCATCCCAGCATTACGAAGAGTTCGCTTCGACTTAGCCACAGAGCCGACATCACACAAATACCAGTCGCTAATTTTACTCAAAGACTCATCGCTCCTCGGCCCCGACACATGTGATTGTATTCCATCCGCGACTCTAACGGGATGATAAGCTCTATAAGGGTGAGCTGGGGTTTTGACGCAAAGTGCAGAACAATGTCTAGTCTGAAGCCAGACTTTTGGATTGATTCCGGATATTTTTCGAAACCAGACAAGTTGACCACCAGTAACCATTTCGTCGCACAGTCAGATAATGGTGAAGCCGTCTTCGAGGCCGAGATAGGAGACAATATAACAAGCTTCTGATGGGAACAATTGTAAGAAGTACTTTGGAGTGGCTGCTGCAGTGACATCGATTGTGATAACATGAAATAACATAACATCTTGTAGGGAGGGGGCATTCCGAAACCCAAGTTCAATATGTCACTTTCGTGCCAAAGAACTGCATGGCTGTTGGGTGAACAGTCGTTAACGAAGGCAGTCAGATCGTTATAAGGGAGACTCTCGCTGGTGGATGTAATATTCTAAGCCCCTTTCCCAGCTAATAGTGAGGGTACTGCTGGGTTGACCTTTTATTAACCTTAACATTATGCTTCAGGTCAAAATGGACGCTATGCACGGCCACTTTTTTTAGCCTTGGCAAATTTTTTTGTGTGCTTCTGCCTGACGGTGGCCGTTGCATTTTCGCTCCATTTGTAGACTGTAATGATATAGTTTCGTTGCCCAGGTTCTGAGTTGAGTGAAAGGCGTAACACTGTGAGCTGAGGATTTCATTTGAACTGTGATAAACATGTTATGCGTTTTTCGTTGGCACAGGAGCGGAGCAATTTTGGGGTGACTCGTTTGCTATGAAGCTGAAACTAAGATTACCAGATTACTAGGTTGGCGAAGCATTTTGCGAATTTGTTGACTATACCTTTAAAAATCAGAGGAATCGCACGAGGGAAAGAGGTACGAGGGACGTAAGGATTTGCCTTCGCATTGGCGATCATCCTGGCGTTATCCACAATTTATTTCCCTTAGGGACCCCTCAATGAATGTTTGCAGTTAATTAGTCATTGTCTTCGTTTCCATGTTTTCGCTGTAATCAACAATACCCATTTAATGTTCCAAAAAAAAAAAAAAAAAATTTAAGTTTATTTTTTATTTTTTTATTTCTTTTGACTTCCACATATTTGTAAGTGCTATAAAGGCTTCTATTGCCTTTTGTGTACGCATCAGTCCCCCATCTGTGTCTATATTATTGCCAACGTAGGTAAACAACTCTACATCTTCAAGTGGGGAACCATTACCAGAAACGATATTATTATTTGCAGATTTATTGTAATTATCTTTGTTATTTCCATCATGGATTTTTTTTAAAATCTATCTGTTGTGAACTGGCTCTTTGATTTTTAATTCCTAATGCATATTTACAATACATACTTGTAATACATATATTCTCCTCTTTCGTGAAACTTAAAAACAAAGAATAGCAAGAAAACCATAAGAACCCATGTGATAATGGATACACACTGGACGTGGAGAGATGTCAGGCAGTGAAAAGAACTTATGGCTGGGTAGTTTTCCGTGGAGACGCAATCTAAATTTTGTTATTAAAAAAAAAAAACGAAAAAAAAAAAAAAAACTTTACAAGTTGGAATGGAAATATTAAAATATTTGTGTGTGTTCACCTCCCGTAATATTTGCCATGTTCACCTCACAGTTATATGTGTCGTGTTTACCTCACAGTTATATTTGTCGTGTTTACCTCACAGTTTTATTTGCCGTGTTCACTTCACAGTTATATTTGCCGTGTTCACCTCACAGTTATATTTGCCGTGTTCACATCACTGTTATATTTGCCGTGTTCACCTCACAGTTATATCTGCTGTGTTCACATCACTGTTATATTTACCGTGTTCACCTCCCAGTTATATTTGTCGTGTTTACCTCACAGTTATATTTGTCGTGTTTACCTCACAGTTTTATTTGCCGTGTTCACCTCACAGTTATATTTGCCGTGTTCACCTCACAGTTATATTTGCCGTGTTCACATCACTGTTATATTTGCCGTGTTCACCTCACAGTTATATTTGCTGTGTTCACATCAATGTTATATTTATAGTGTTCACCTCACAGTTTTATTTGCCGTGTTCACATCACTGTTATATTTGCTGTGTTCCAGATTGCAACATAGGCCGGTTTGGACAGAACTGCAGTAATGTCTGCCCAAGAAACTGTCAGAATGGCCTGTGTGACAGGATTACAGGAGCTTGTATGTCGTGTCTTGACCATTGGACTGGGCCCACCTGTCAGGGTGTGTATGTATACCTGGATTAGGTCATTCGTTTTTCACAGTGGCTATAATGTTAGTGACGTTTTTATATTTTTCACGTACTGGTGTTAAGCACGTATTGATGTTTGTCACGTCTTGATGTGTAGCACGTATTGATGTTTGTCACGTCGGTTATTTTTACGTTGGTCTCCTCATTACGCAGCGTTTTATCCTTCATTCGTGCTTCCAAAGACGCGTCTACATAAGGAGGGTTGTCATAAAACAATGTCTCAGGTCTTTGAAATCCTGGTCACGAAGGCACCAAAATCCGATCTTCCCCTTGTGTAGCACAGCTCTCGTCTTTGTGGCTTACGTTGATGTCACACCCAGGTTCGTCTTTAGGTTTGCTACAGGAGGAGTCGATTGGAAGATTATAGACGAGGAGAAAGATGGTCGTGTCGATAGTGGCGATGATGATGATGATGTCTTGCTAGCTGCATGCTTCTCACGTAACTCAGATGCTTGTATGATAAAGTGTCTGGAAACAACTGCTCTTGTCTATGCTGTCTTTATTGTGATACTTCAGCAATGTTACAAACATCAATGATATTCTGAAAGGCACTGTGTTCTCTCTATGGTTACATTCTCGTAGGTTCGCGTTGTGTTCTTCATCTCTAATTACTTTGTTAACTGGTTCTAGTGTCTCTGCCACCGGGCTTCTAGTGCTGTTCAGTACTAACGGCTTGATCGTCGACTCTAACATCTCTAAAATGTTCATAACGTGTCTCTGTTAACCATTGATCCATGTGTCGAGTGAGTTGTCTCTGTAGTTCGTTGTCTCGTTTCATGTCTCTTCTCTAGTGACTGTCTTCGAGGCTCAATTGGGCTGGCTCCTCTCCTTCTAGTTTTGAGTTGGCATCTCCACAACTACGAGGATCATTGAGACTAAGCACTCGTCCTCTAAGTCTCAGAGACTGAAGGCATTCTTTGAGTTGAGCTAACATCTCTACGACAGAAGGCTGCTTTGAGAGTCATTGTGACTGGTCTCTCCTCTCTTGAGTCTTTTGGACTGAAAAATTCTTCTGAGTGGATTCTTACCCACTTTTTATACTTGGATGCTGGAATGCTAGTTATCTGTTTTCTTCTCACTTTTTCTGCTTCTAGAATATTCTAGTACGTCCAAACTTGTTTACTATGTACGTTCTCACGTGGGATTTTCTAAAAATGTCTCGATTGCATCGGATTTAATCATGCTATTCTACTCAGATAAAGTAGTCAAATTGACAGCTGACGTCAAAAGAAGCTTCTAGAAAACAAGTATAATTGCGTTTGCTTTGATAGGGCACGACAACAAGGTATTTACTAGTAAGGCAAGGTTGGGTCACATGATGAAACAAACGCATTTCAAAACTTCTAGAAAGAAGGTCAAGGTCAGACAACCTCAGTTTGATGTCAACTGCTAGGTTTGGCGGGAAAAGAAGATTCTGGAAACGGGAATGTCAAGGTTACCAAAACTTGTTGATTTTCAGTATATCATAACTTTGTGCCTTCTAACAAACAAGAGATAATGTCTCCCTGTTACAGGGTGTCACAATTTTAAACTTCGTGGGACAAGGTTAAAGTTCCTAACAGGCCTCAATCATTTGTAAAATGCTGACCTCTTTCCGGCGAATATACTGCCACCGCCGAAAGTTTCCTCGGCGCCGCTACACACAGCGCGGGTGGGGAGGGGGGGGGGGTCGAAACTAGGCGGCTGAGACTCACGAGCAAATATAATGGAGGAAGCTGCAGGAGATGCGGTAGCTGCTGCTCGTGAGTCCTGGCCATCTAATTGAGCCTCCCTCAGCTCTGCGCCGCGCCGGTGACTTTAACTCAGCTGAAGCTTTTCTGCAGTATAGTCGCCGGTGTGTGTTCGTGTATTCGTATGTATTTGTGGCCAGAATTTACAACTATTACATATAGTTCTGCTTTCGAATGACTTGTTCCAAGCCTCACGAAAGATGGTAGAAACATAGAAAGAGAGAGCAAACTGAAGTATCTGGAAATTACATTTGACAGGAGCCTGTCTTTTAAGGACCATGTAGAGAGTATTGTGACACGATGCCAAAAAGGACTGAGTGCACTTAAGACTATGGCTGCAATTGACATAGAGCAGACAATGTTTTTTTTTAACACTATATCACCTGATCCTGTCAGTGGTTGATAATGGCCTGGGACTGCTTACCGTCGCAAAGAGTCAGATGGACAAACTAGACCGCATACAGAACGCAGCGATGAGGGTCATTCTGGGTTGCTCCAGAGACACCCCAGTGGTGTATATGCAATACATCCTTGGTTTGCCGACTTTTGCACATAGGTACAATGTGCTGCAGGTAAAGTCATATCTCAGGGTAGCTGCAGACATAGACCACTCTTTGCATGAAGCTATGAATGTAGTTAAGGGTCAGCGTCTGATAAGAGGGAATTCATGGATGGCTCAGGCAAAAGACACAATCAAACAGGTTTGCTTCCTTGAGAACATTAGGCGAGGAGTGGAGTATACCAAAGTGCCACCTGTCGTGTAGGGTCATAATCACACTGAACCAGGAATGTAGAGACTGGCCAGCATGTGCCACAGAGATGGAAATTCAGTATTTAATTCAATATAATGCTCGCTCAGAGGATTTGATCATTTACACAGAAGGTTCAGCGTCAAGAGGCAAAAGGAGTGCTTGGGGTTTCTTAGCAAAGGTTACAGGTCTACATTTGGTGCAGGAGAGCCTAGCATTTGATACCACAACATCTAACTTAAGAATGGAGGTGGAGGCGGTCACTGCAGCTTTCCGCTGGCCAGAGAAGACGACACACACACACATACATCGTGATTTTAACTGACTCAGAAAGCATGCTGAGGAAGATCAGGACAGGCATGCTTCGTGCAGAGTGGAATGCCTCGAGGTGGAGGACACGAGTGAGGTGTATTGTCTGGATTTTTTCACCAAGGCACGCCGGTGTTTTAGGAAATGAACAGGATGATAGACTGGCTGGCTCTGCACAGCTTGGCGGAAAACTGATGCATGAAAAGGCAGACGTGGTTAGTGCCTTGTGGGAGAGCGTGTACAGTTCGGAGGAGCAGATGGATCACCACAGTCTGGTGAGATTGATGCAAGCGGGAGTGACGAGAGGTTCTGGCAGATGTTCGAGGCTCAGATGAACGGCAAGACGGAAGTTTAATCAAAATGCTACTGGCACCATTAGTATCGGAACTCTTTGCTGGCTGCTGAAGATGGAGACGGAGCGCTTATGAGTATGCCCCGAGTGCCATGATGTCGATTCTTGAATCAAATCAAATCAAATCGCATCAAACTTCAAAGAATGTTTCAAAGGTTGCACTTACGAAAACATACGTGTTCATATCACAATGTCTGTGTTTCAGGGTGCAACCAGGGCTGGTTTGGGCAGAACTGCACTAATGCTTGCTCAAGAAATTGTCGCAGTCAGATATGTGACAGGATGACAGGAGACTGTGTGTCGTGTACCGAGCATTTTGCAGGGCTCAAATGTCAGGGTATGTTTGTTTATTGGGATGTGGGTCAGTCTATTTACACATTGGCTTCAATGTCAGTGACGTCTTGATGATGGCTCATATTTTAAATTGTGTCATCTAGCAATACTTTGATCACACATGACAACAGTGTATAATGCAAATAATTAAACCTAGATTTTTTTTTTAAATGCATTTCTCACAGACTTCAGGGGGATCAGCACAAATATGACAAGAAAAAAAATATACTATTTACGGAATATACTACAGTAATAGGTTTTATATCCTAAAGACAGCCCGTCTCTCTAGCGTAATTGGCTAAACCGGATTGCGCAGTGAGCGGGTGACGAACTCCTTGTGGTCCGGGTTCACTCCCGGGGGTAGGCAGAAAAGCCACATTTCTCCCAGATTTACGGTATTAAAATGGAATCAAGACCGAAAGGTTGCGATATCCATAATACCGAGCCTAAGGGTTAACAACTCATGGCTTCTGGATACTAAAACAAACAAACAAACAAACATATCCTAAAGACACTTTTGTTCACCGCCCCAACATCCCCCCCCCCCCCCCCCCCCCCAATCACACAAGCCAAAAAAACAAATCAATCAATGTTTTATTTTTAATTACAGTCTTAAAAAAAGAAAAAAAAAAAAGAAGCTATCTGTTGTATTCATCATTGACATCTTTGACGGTCGCTGAACAACTCATGCATAAGACGTATATAGCACTATGTATGAAGGGCACCCGTTACGTTCTGGCACAAGGCTGCTTCTGCTTTCTATGTCGCTTCGCTTGACGCTTGTGTGGCTGCTCAGGATCACCTCAACAGTAGTCAGCCAGCATGAGCGTGGTCCAGTTTCCCTGACATCTGGTGTCCACTGCAGCAATGAGCCGGTGAAAACGCTCCAAGTGCTGATCACTAACCACACCACGGTTATTGAGAAAGAAATTGAATTTGGAATGGAGAAAGCGGCTCAGCAAAGATATATTGCAGCCAAGAATCTGAAACTAAGACGACCATCCTAAATTAGTTGTTTGTAGTTTGTAGCTCTGACAATGCCAGGCATTTAGTTGCTACCAGACGAAAGGCGTCTCGAGCCTCCCCACCCCCTTTTTTAAAACCAATTGTAAAACATCTAACCTCTGAAGAGTTCGTAATTTGCAGACCCACAACAATTACTATTTCAATTGATGATTAGCTAAGTCGAGGAGATTTCTCAGCCAACTAATTGACAGCTGATCACCATGTTCAACGGCCTTTACAAGTTTTTATCAAACTGAATTTGATGTACAAAGTGAGTGGGGGGGGGGGGGGGAGCTATGTGGAGGGATGTGAAACAGACAGCACAAGAACTGCAGGCAACTGTAGACAAAGTGACTGACTGGTGCGCATAGATGGGTGCTGTCATCAACTCAGAAAACGCCACTATTTTGCGGTCTTCTCTGAAAAAAAAAAAGAAAGAAAATTGTAAGAGAAAAGATTCCAAGCCTCAAAATTAATAACATTAACATCAAAAGAGAAAGAAAACTGATGTATCTTGGTGTCTTTTTTAGGGAAATGTCCAAAAGGATTCATTGCACTCAAGAGTATGGCAGCAATGGACATGGGCCAAAGAATGCAGTCAACAATGTTTTAGCAAGTGATCCTTTCGGTGATGGATTATGAACTTAGAATGCATACCGTATCTAAGAGTCAGCTGATGAAACTTGACGCATACGGAATGAAGCCATGCGGGTGATTCTGGCATGTACAAGAGATTGCTCAGTTGTATGTATGAGATATATACTTGCAAAGTCAATACTTGCTGTAATGTTGTGAATTCCCGGAGAAATCCCAGAGAGTTCCCGATGGGAAGGACAAGGTCAGAGAACCAGTGATACAAGAGAAAAACAATAAAAGTGGGTCTCGAATATCCCGTGGTGAGTTAAATAAGGGATACAAGAAAAGCGTGAGTCTGGAACGAAAGAGGTGAACCGGGAGACAGGAGTAAGACAGTTGAAGTTCGGACCTGGTTGCGAGAGGTCGTATGAATGGACGCATGAGGAGAATAAAAGAATTGTGAATACTAGTTATGTTTCGAGATACTAGTTAATTGTTTCCTACATTTCTTAATACCAAGTACAAGGTTCGTTAAAGGATGGATGGACGATTCGAAAGACACTGATGGATCGAAGTAGTGTGTGAGAAGATTGACTAGGCCGTCAGAAATCAGCCAAGCAGAACGAACACGAGGACGAGACAATGATGTGATTCAGCGAATAAAAGCATGTATCTGAATATTCGTCTCTGCTGTGTCATAACGACTTACTGTTCGTCAGAAAGCAATGTGGCTTACCCAAACATACCCCAAGCAGAGCACATTGCACTTGCAGTAGCTGCAAATTAGAAGCACCTCCTGCATGAAGGCCTGTGTAGAGCTGAGAGTCAAAGACAGAAAACAGAAGGTTTCGGATAACGCAGGCTGAAGACACAATTAGACATACTGCAGACTAGATAAACTTGGAGGGAGGAGAGGAGCAGTTTAATGTCCGAGCAAGAATAAGATTTGTATAGGGTTTTAATCACTTTAGGTCGCTACTGCATTGGATGGCCAACTGGTGCTGCAGAATCAGAAGTTCAACAAATGTTTCATGGCGATTACCGCCCAGGAGCTGTCATTATCGATACAGATATCTGCTATCCTCCGAATAACTGGTGATAAAGATGGCGGCCGCAAAATATCCTTTCGAGCTGCAGTCACGTGTCAACTTACGGCGACCTAATATGCGGTCTTCTGGCGGTTTTCCGGCGACAATCGCCACCGCTAGGTGTCCCCCACGCCGCTCACGCTGCGTGGACTTGGGCTAAACTAAATAGCTAGGACCCAAGAGCAGCAGTTCCCACATCTCCTGCAGCTTTGCTCGTGAGCCCTAGCCATCTAGTTTAGCCCTAATCCACGCCGCGTGAGCGGCGTGAGGGACTCCGGCGGTGACAGTAGTCACCGGAAAACCGCAAATTATGTCACGTGACTGCGGCTCGAAAGGATATTTTTTCTCCCGCCATCTCTACCGCCCCTTATTCGGAGGATAGATCAGATATCTTTGTGTTAAGAGGTAGAAGAATTTCGTGGTGGGGGAGGGGAAAAAAGGGGGGGGGGGGTTTATAGCAACAGCAAATGCACGTCGGTAAGTTCAATAAAGCCTGGCTTATGGCTTCACGTCTAGTTTGAGAATAGCAGCCTGGGTAGTGACAGCTGCTTGCCGACGGCTTAAGTATCAGCTGTTTACAGATTTAATTGTAACTGACTCAGAGAGCTTGTTGAGAAAGGTGAAAACAGGCATGTATCGTGCAGAGTGGCAAACATCGCTTCAGAAGTCCCGTGTAGATAGCGAGCGTCCTTTGGATATTTTCTCCAGGTATTGCAGAAGTATTTAAAAAAGGGGAAGGCAGATGTTCGATTCTGCACCAGATGGTGATTAATAGTTTGTATGGCAAGCTAGATGTTGTGAGGGCCCTCTGGAAGCGAGAGAACAAAGCAGAAGCACAAATAGATCATTAGGTCTAAGAAGAATGGCGCTGCGGTGAGTTAGCAGGGGACTTGCGCCGACGCTCTGCACTCAACGGAAAGGCGAGAGGAATACACAGCCAGTTACTGGTGCCATCAGAATTGGAACTTTTTGCTTTCTACTGAAGATGGGGACAGAACGCTTATGGGAGTTTCTTTTTTCAACATTCAACATTCCAAGACATCTCACGGGAAACATAAATAGTTTTGACGGTGATGTGGTAGCTGGTGTGCATTCCTGGTTTCGAGGGGATGCCACAACTGGTTCGACCCTGGCTGAACTCTCTTTTCACACGCAGATCCATCATATTCTCCAGCCGATAATAATCTAGTTTCGCTTCTGACTTCCTTACTTGTTTCCATGTGCCTGGTCATGTATCAGTTAACCATCCAGTGGTGTATATCTAGCCAGTCTGTCTGTCTGTCCATTCCCCACCACGCCTGCATCGCCTGGAGAAAAAATCCAAAGTATGCTCACTACCCGTGACCTTGCAAGCGAAGCGTGTCACTCTGCTCGAAGCAATCCTGTCTACACCTTTATTCCGTTACACGAAATGTGTATGTATTTTGTTCTCACGCCACCGGAAAGCTGCAATGACCGCCTTCACCTCCATTATCATGCAAGATATCGTGGTATAATATGCCAGGTTGTCCTGCTCTGAAGATTTTCCATTGGCGTTTGCTACGAGAGCCCAGTTACTTCTCTTCCCTCTCAATACAGAACCATATATTTAAATAATCAGATCATATGGGAGAGAAAAAACTGTTGGACTTTTACCCCGGTATTCCCCCCCCCCCTCCCCCCGGCCCTCTCTGCACTCCCGGTCAAAAGTGATCATAACACTACATAGGTCTGACATGTCTTCTGGTTCTCTGATCCATTCCTCTATTCGCCTTATGTTCTTTAGCATTATTATTTGTCTTATTGTGTCTTCTGCTTGAGCCATCCATGATTTTCTCCATGTCAGCCTCTAGCCTTGACCTGCAGAAGGTGTTGGGTGACTGCAGCCACTCTGAGGTGTATGACTTAGCCTGAAGCAACTTTAGCCTATCTGCAACAGTCGGCAATGCAAGGATGTATCGCATGCACACAATCAGGGTGTCTCTTGTGCATCCTAGGATCACTCGCATAGCTTAATTCGGTATTCGCTATAGTTTCACATGCTGACTCTTCAAGACAGTGAGCAGACCCAGTCCGTAATCAATCACTGAGATAATAAAGTGCTGGTAAAGCGTGATCAGCATTCTTTGTTCCATGTTCATTGCTGCTATAAACTGTTGTCCATTGCGATATTTTTGGGCCTCTGACACAACCACCTCTATGTGATCATTGAAAGACAATCTTCTGTCAAAGGTGATACCCAGGAACCCCAGTCTGTGGTCTTTCTGCTATTTATGTTCTGGCTTAGAACATCAGCGATAACAATCCATTTGTTAAAAAAACACAACGGACGGTTGCCTTTTCTGGGTTCATTACAGCAATCAACTCTGTACACCAGTAGATCACCCCTAAAAGAGTCGAGACCTGTATTACCTGTGCTCGACAAACCTTTCAAACTTGGACTCGTCCGGAAAGGTATATAGTCCCTTATATCGATATATGCCTTGATCGGAGAAAATTATGATACCTACATCTTCCAGTTGCTTTGACTTAGCGTCATTTTCAAATTTGCAACTGTATGATAAATATTGCTGGAGTTTTCTGACTATTCTTAGAAACCGGTTTACTCCTTGCTCATGTATACAAGGAACTTCTTCTTACCGACGCCTGACTTCAATTTTTGCGGCATTGTTTCTGCCGGCTTTCCTAGCGTTCAGATGTATGCATCGACGCCAGCAAATTTTACTTTCAGAAGGCGGCCTGTTGTGTCAAGGACTTTTCCTATGCTTGGGTAAGTTAATTATAGTTTAAGAGTACCTTAAATGATGTCTGTTAAAGTGGTCACTGCTGTAGAGAGATCAGAATCGGCTATGGGATTGCACATAGTTCGACCGGTCCTAATCGCCAGAGAAGCGGATTCGAACTTAAACCTTCTTTTGTACAGACTAAATAGCCTATGCCCTAAATAACCCACACATACTGGTAAAAATAATGACCTTACAAGTGTGTACCATTTAAACTAACAACAGAAGTTTGTGCATACGAATGGGGACAGAGAATTTAGGTCAGTACTTAGACAGCCAGAGCTGCGTTGAGTGTGGTTGACCCAGATCAATTGATGTGTGGAACTGGCTTGAGAGTCGTAGGGAATATAGGTACTGACGGTAAATATTGGTGTCTGTGTGCAGATGGGAGGGGAGAGAGATTGAGATATGTGTGAGAGTGTCTATCTATCTCCACTATATGTCTTTCTATCTCTTGCACTAAACAGACAGATGAATGAAAGGAGACATTGTCTCCTGATCTTGAGAGTGCACTCTGAGGAATGAAACAGAGGAGCAGAGGTGTCAGTAGGCTGATGTGGGATGGTGACTGATGCTTATTCTGTCTTTCCTGTCAAGATGATTCCCTCTTGGTGATGACTAATTCTGAGTTCTTTCCTGACAGGATGAAACCTTTGTGAAGAGCTGGCAGAAAAATCATAGTCCAACCAACACCTACCAACCAATTACCAACCAACCCATCAACCAACTACCCACCAGCTAACACCTGTGAAGACCCCTAACATCATCAGTATGGGGTGCCATATACCCCAAACAGCCTAACAGTGCAAGAGCTTGGTGTAGCTCAGAAGCAGTGTTGTGACCTGACTGGTGGGAGAGACTTGCTGATTACCGGTACAGTTGCTGTGTCCTCTATGGTGAGGTACTCTTCCACTACCTGATCCATCGGCGGAATTACCAGAGTCAAATACAGTCGAATCATCAGGAGCTGAGGGAAGCATCAACGATAGAAAGAGGATAAGTGCCAGTTGATTCCATGTTTTGCTATATTCCCCACAGCTCCAATGTATTCCAGGGATGAAAAGATGTGCTTCCTCCAAGACTTTCTGACTGTTTAGAATTCTGGTGATTCTGGTCATTGTATTCTGGGATCCATCCACTGAGATCTGGCATCTGCTTCACTATTTTATTTATATATATGTTGTATTGATTACATGCATTCATTTTCATGGCTGACTTAGGTGTCTCTATTTCACCTTTCTAAGTGTTTAGCATTGTTGTGTGTATGAGTCATAAATATTATATGTGTTAACATGGTTATGATAATAAACTGTCATAACCTGGGGGCTTTCTTTTAATAGTAGTGGGGGTGTCCAGCCAAGTTTGCCGAGGAATATTGTATTCATATACAGATATATTTTGTAGTGCCAAAACGTGAGTTGCCCTACTCCAGAAATAGGTTGAGCGTATATTGGCCACGGGGCATCCCTTAGACCAATACGAGCCAAACGACTCAACCTAATTATTTCTGAGTGCTGTTGGTTCTTAAGGAGAAATCCTTAAATCAGGCGCGTGACAGGAGTGATATGTGACACTACTGTCACTTGTAACTCGTGATCAATTTGATTCCGATCTCTCCCCTGCCTATATGCATGTAAGACATGATGGTGTCTACGTAGACTGAAATAGAAGAACCCTTCTCAGAGTGGCACAGACCTCTGGTCGACCTTGATGGTCTGTGGCTTCCTGTGTGGGCCTCTGACAGACAATCTAACCTTGGACACACTGAAACCGGACGCACACAGAGCACACATGACATCCTTTAGTGTAAATCACAGATTTAATAATAGGACAGTTGACTTCCCGCTGTGTGTTTAACTGTTACCAGTAACCCTGGCCGTTCGAGCTTCACATTCACTACGCACTCCAGTGCGTTCTCTCGGGCTTCTACCGAGTGCCGGGCCAGTGGGCTAAGGCTAGAATTTATCACACAAACCATATCAACCCCCGATTTTACTCATCAGAATACACCAACACTAATTACATATTAGGAAACAACACAAAACCTGTCTCTGTTAAACGCAACACAACACAGATAAGCTATCCCACCGTAACATTACACTTGACACAATCTAAGCGAGCACTAAAGTATTATTCTAACACCTAACGTTCTACAACTGTCCAACTAAGCACGTTCCTGTCTCCTGTCTGAAGCCTGAAAGTCGAATGCCCGGTTGCCTTCCATCTCGTGACTTTGGTCACAGGTCGCTCGCTCAGCTGGGGTCAGGCAGCAAACATAAAACCGCTAGAGAGTTTACTCTTTCAGCACTTACTCGCGGTCACCACTGGATCTCGCTAAGCGGTAGCTTCCTTTAGTTACAACAGCACATACCTGGGCGGTGAAGCAAACCACTGTGCTACCCCGTGAGTCAACTCTGGGTTCTACCCCTACACACGTTATGCCGTCTCTATGATCTACACCGCCACATGACTGTACAAACAGACTTCTGACACAGAGGGCATCAAAGCTTTCGGAAAATGAGTGTTTCGTATGTATAACAAAGTTATGTCATTAGAGGTTTTACTTGTCAAACTCTACTGGTACCATGGTCAATATTGCAGAATGCAAACCAGGCTGGTTTGGGAAGAACTGCGCTCTCTCCTGTCCAAGATTCTGTCGCGCTCATCTGTGTCACAGAGAAACAGGCCGTTGTTTGTCGTGTGCAGGCCGCCAGACGGGACCCAAGTGTGAGGGTATTGTATGTTATATTTTCAACATTGTATATTGAAGCCATTCTGCTGTCAGTGAAGTCTCGGTCCTCACTTTATTAATTAGTCTAATATATATATATATATATATTGACAGAGTAAAATATTTAACATACGCCCAGTTGAAACCTTTATTTGAGGGTGTGAACGTGTGTAGTGTTATTTTTTAATTCGGAAAGCTAGACCAATAAACAAGACACTTCGGACTGTCATCATCGTCATCATCATCATCATCATCATCAGTTTCCACTTCTGCCGTAAAGCGTTGTGGGAAGGAACAGTGTGCGATCCATTGCTTGGTGGGCAGCAATGGCTACTGTTTTTCCGTGTTGATGTAGAAGCTCTTGTAAACAGCTCCCATGTTCTCCTAGGACGGCCTCTGGCTTTCACTTCAGACTTTGGACAGTGGATTATTGAATAATTCATCTTGGGCACATCTGTTAGCAGAGTGTTAATATACAGTTCTCATAGTAATGCAGGACCTCAAATAGGGGTCTAGACTGCACAGGCTGATTAAAAAAAAAAATAAGTGAAAATGATCCTAGAGTGTACAACGAGAGAACGTAAGCACCAAAACAAAACAAGAAAAGATATAAAACCGTATATTGGCAAGCTTCACAATATAACAAATAGAAACAAAACGTGAATGTTGCGGCTATGGAACCTTGATCATCACATACAAATAATACAATACTACACAAATACACAAAATCACTTAGCTGGTATCTCGAAGCAGCTGGGTCGATGGTTTCTCAGGAGAATGCCTACACAAATCTGCTGGAGGTATAAATACCCCCCTGTGGCACCCAAAACAAAACTAAGAACGTCTTCAGTAGAATATATGAATTAAATAATTTTACCACAGACACATATATGTCGGTTCATTCATTTATTATCCTGTTTGTGCCATTATATGTCACATAGGGCTCACAGTCCACTTACCCATTCCGCTTTATCCCTGCAATCAGTTTAATATAAGGGACAGAATCCATTCTAGCAGCTTTAGCCACTTGTTATTGTTGTCTACCATTGTCACAACCCTATTAAGTACAGTCAGTGTACCACACCGTAAGGTGTGCACCCAGGGTTGACACAGAGGTCAGGGCCGTCACTGGTCGAGTCCGTTCTGTGATCGCACGGCGAAACCAGCGCTCAGGATAAAGCAAGAAAGCTTGAACTGTGTTTTAGTAACA